CTCTCTGGTCTCCTTGGACATATCACTTTCTCTGCTTATAAGATTTCTTTTATTGCATCCATGACTTTCTTTCTCTCTTTTGGCTTGACTTGTCGGTCACTGGCTGCTCCGTCTCTCTCTTCAAAGTTTCAAGTTGCAGCATGGCGACATGAAAAAACATGGACACCATTATTTAAAGAAAAGAGCTTATATTTTTAAAAGGCTGGGAAAAGTCATAAGCATAAATGCAATTTTGAAGCCCTTCATGCTTTGAGCAAATTGCTCTTTTTCAAGGCAGTCTATAAAATCTTATCCAGCAGTCACAAACACCTGAAAAATTAATGACTTCATTAATTGTAAATGATTTTAAATTAAAATGATATACAATTTAAATATATTACTTGTATATCAAATTAAAATTAATAAAAAAAATAAAAAAATATTTAAATTCAGAAAATGTCAAATATTTTTTATTCGTATTAAAATATGGAATTTTTTTTTAATGTTATTTATCTACAAAAATGTTCATAGGTCAAAAGGTGCCCGTTTTTCTTTAAATATATTTTTAGAGAGATGATTCTAATAATTATATATAATTTGTGAATACAGAGTTTAAAGATTAAAATAAAAAAATATTAATTTAATTATCTAACATTTATCTTTAAATATCACATGCATCTTGTAGGTCTGTTGGAGCATTTGATGTTGTATGTAGCTCTTCTGAGGAAGTTCTAGAAGAGGCCCGTGGAAGTGCTGTTGAAAGGGGTAATGAGCTCTGAAGGTTGCGGTGGCCCGTGTTGGTAGATAAAAAGATGAAGTTCTCATTCTGTCACTCGTTCATGCTGTCTTTTATCTCTCTCTGTGTTCTTTGTACCTGACGTGCTTCCTCCCTCTTTCCCTGGCCCAAGGCCGTCACCCCTCTGAGTGCTGTGATGGATTAGTGGGCGTGTTGTGTGTATGGGTATACGTGTGTGTGCGTGGGTGCTGTGTTTTATATAGTGTGTTTGTGGCCGTGTATGTCTTTTATGGTGTGTGAGTACTGGGGCAGAGTTGAGGGACTCATTCAGTGTCTTCTCATTTATCTCAGTTTTCCTGAGGCTCTGTGAATTATTACCTGCCTGCCCTACGGAGACAGGCCCATCATGGAGCTCTCCTCTGAGGCCTGTCGCAGAGCTCCGTGATAGGGCTTATCATGCACCTGCATGCTGAGGCCCTTCGTTCCGAGACGTTCTCCAAGAAGCCTCTGGCTTTGAGGTGTTTGTTTAGGAAGTTAAGTGGTTAAGGCTCAGTGGTAACCCAAAGGTTGCTGGTTAAGTCACCTCAAGGATCAAGCTATGTAATCTCAGATTTATGCACTTTTCATGGTTATTATGGTCTTATAATATATTTTAATTAATATTTTTAATTTGGTTTTATTTTTGTATTTTCCTTAGCAATTTTGTTGTGCATTTTTGTCATTTTTAATATGTTTTCAGTGTCTGTATATTTTTTATTGATTTATTTAATATTATTATTATTATCTTGTTTTATTTTTTTAATACTATAACAAACTAAACAAATTTGTTCAGTTAGAAAATGTATTAAATAAAATAAGAATAAAACTAATCAAATAAAATAAGAATAATTTAACAATAAAATTACTGAAATAAGTTTAATAAAAAAAATTAAATACATTTAAGATTTTTTAAAAATATTTTATTTAAGTTTTAGTTAACAATAAGGCTGACTATATATTTATATATTATGATTCTAATAATTATAGAATTTATGGATAGAGTTTAAAATGTAAAATTAATTAATAATAAATATAAAATAATAAATATATAAAATAATATAAAAATACAAAATAAATTGTAATCATATTGAAATTATTTATTTAATATTTATCTTTAAACTCGATAATGCCGACTTAGATTGTCTCTAAAACTATTTCATATTCTCTCTCTATGAAGTAGCAATAGTGATGCTTGCTTCATCAGTACCCATAAAACATCACATTCCTTAATTATTATTCATATTTGGTTATTTGCATTTGCATTCTTGTTTGTTCATTTTTAGATTTCTATTTTGAACATGGGTCCATGTGTTGGTGTTGGTTTATCTCTCATATCATGTACCAAACTGTCAAACTATCCTGAGGGTGGCAGTAGCACACAGAGAGGAGAAACTGAAGCGTTCATGCGTGTTTGTGAGATAGTGTTCAGAATGCATGAGTGAGAGCGAGAACCCAGTGTGTGTTACATGTTACTGGTTTCGTCTGCAACAGGGAGAAGATGTAGCTCAGAGAGCAGGTGTGTGACACTTCACACTCGAGTCTCATGAATTAAACATATGTGTACAGCCTGAGTGTGTGTGTGTGTGCTTTTTATAAAAGGCTGCTGGGAACGTTTGCAGTCATTCCACTAAAAGCTGTATGTGTGTGTGGATATAAATTGTTGTGCCTTTGTTTTCAGCGAAAAGAGAAGGGGTTTTGTCTTCCACAGCAGCAGAAAAGATGAATATTGATTTTTGATTTAGTCCTTCAGCCACGATCCTCTGCATACACCCGTCCACAAACCACAAAACCAATCAAGAGTTAAACACACACACATTGCAGTTCGAAACCACAGCGGTTAAATTGTGAAGTTTGTGAAGTTAAATTTGTGCTTTTTGCAAATGAAATAGCGTCTCCATCTGCATCTTTTTTTCTTTATTATAATTAGCGTTGACCATAGATATAAAACTTGGATATGCAACATGCCTTGTAGTGCAAACAAGCTAAATTGACCAAAATGTTGGCCCTAGCAACCACTCACAACACCTCAGCAACACCCTAGCAACCACCTACAACACATTAGCAACTGCATTGTAATGGTGTACTAGTGATGGGAGAAACTAAGCTTTTCGAAGCATTGAATCAATTGTACCAATTGCTTTGAAAAATGATTCCATGTTTCGAAGCACTTGAAACAGCACATGCTGACGACAACATTGTAAAAGCATCAAGAACTCAGACCAAACTTACAAAACAAATGTAAATGTTTTTTTAGAAATACAATTTTTTAAAATAAATAATAAATACTTAAATACTATTAAATATTAGTGCTTGTGTTGTGTTTTAAGTATAATCAAACCTTTAACACGCAATGAAGTAAATTAATTATTTAATTAATTAATTGATTTATGAAAAAAACAAGCAAGCCTATACTAATACTAAGAGTATATTTGGTTCGAATAGCCAATATTTTAGTAGGCTATAAATATGTGGCTATGTTACAGCTCCCCTTTGAATCTCTTGTGTTTTTCTCCTTTTCCATCTGTCCAACCCTATTCTGCTCACAGGTGATTGGAGATGAGTTTTGTTCCTCGGAGAAGGAGGTGGATTTAATTCTATCGTAAGCTCATTTTGTTATTTTTAAGGTATGTGATTTGTAGGTTGAAAGTACTGAATGTTTTTTCACATTTTTTAAATTATATAGACATCCGTGTTAAAGGGAACTTATCTTTTGTTTAACCCACAACATCTGGCCCTGAAATCTGTATTATTATTTTTTTTCTTTATTATTCTTTATTTCATGTCACATGATTAACTGGGCAACCAGAAGTGGTTCATGGGTTCACTTTGAGATCAACACCCCCTTAGTGGTGAACCATCGGAGTTTCGAAACGTTTTGAAACGTAACGAACGACCGTGTGACGTAACGAAGCTTCGTTTGAAATTTTTCAACGTATATATATGTACGTATATTGAGACGTGTATATATTGCGTGTGTGCAGCAATCACATAGCCTGCCACAAATTTGCGTCTTTGCATGTAATCTACTTGCGCGAATAACAACATTCGCTTTTGGTGTGCACACATACCATAAAACTTTATATATGCGTGATAAGGCTGCGTCAAAAGATGACGATCATGTATTGACGATAGCCAGAGATATTGTCAAAATCATTTTTTATTCAATTAATATTACAATTAATTTCCTTTGCAATGCCATAGTGCATCAACGCATAACTGACTCGCTGTCAAGTCACCTTTATTTATATAGCGCTTTTAACTACTGAGGTCTTTTAAAAATCTTTTAAAATGGGTCTATTATAGCTTACAATTAATTATAGTCCTATATTTAAAATTGTTAACACTGCAGTCGTCAATGAAATTTAAGAGCAGCTTTATTTCAAGCACCGACTTTCAAAAACAACCTGTAACACAAAATATGTTTCTTTTCATTTTGATCATGTTCAGGCCACAAGAGAAATATTCAGGGATTAAATTAAAACGTTATATACCGTCATCAGCATATGAAGTAGATTCATCTCTCATCTTCTCTGAGAGAATATGTGCGGTTAAGGCTAGAAGGGATACAGCTAAAACTACTGGGCATGCGCACATCAGTATAGCGTAATTTTTGTCACACTGTGTTTTTGCATTATTGTAAGGGGTAGGTGTAGACGTTAATAAAACACAATCTAATAGGTAGAAAATTGTATTTATTGTTAGCTTCCGGTTTTAGCTGTATCCCTTCTAGCCACAACTAATATGCGTCGTTGCCGAAAGCGCCATCAGTTTTTACTTTCACTGGTGAAAGTTTTTCACCGGCATAAATGCTTGTATAATATCCATTGGCTTGTCTTCATGGTTTGAAACAGAAATATTTCCAATATCGCAACGGCCCCCACGGATTTGCGCTACGCCACTGCCAACACATATTCTAGCGAACAGTCCACTCAGAACCCCTTATTAAAAATTATTATTATTATTATTTTTTTTTTGAGTAATTTTAGTTCTTATTTCAATTACTTTCCAAGGCAACATATTGAATAAGTTTTTCATCTAAAAAACAAAAATAGTTAACAATAACAAAACTGCAGAACACCCTTGCAACTACATACAGTGCCATAGCAACCAGCAGAAACACCCTAGCAACACCTTGGCAAACCACTCAGGCCTGTCAGAATCGTGGCGTTGAGTTTCAGCACTCGTTTTTTTGTTGCAAAAATCTAATTTCTCACTTCCTTTCTGTCTCCATCTCTCTCTTTCTTAGGCATAACAGCAGTCTTGATACCGCGGTTAGATCTGGTGATCTCATTGGTCGGTGCGGTTAGCAGCTCGGCGCTGGCGCTTGTCTTCCCGCCGCTGGTGGAGCTGGTGGCATTTCCCAGTCAACCTCCTCCTCTCCTGCTCCTCAAAGACCTCTCCATCGCTGCCCTCGGCTTCATCGGCTTCCTGACAGGGACCTACGTGACGCTGGAGGAGATCATTTATTCTGACGACCAAGGACAGACCCGTCTCCATGATGACAGGAACTGGACCACACCCACTACCTCACCGCCCTGAAGACCACGCCCACAAACGAAGGACCAATCAAGGCACAGTTCCATATTTTAAGGGCACGGAGAGAGAGAGAGAGAGAGAGAGAGAGGCTGATAGAATATGAAAAGCGAGAGGCAAAACGCTCGGATCAGAGAGAGATGGAGCAAATTAGAAGCTGAAAAATAGAGGGAGAAAGCGAGGCGCGGAGGGAGAGAGGAAGGAAGAAAGAACGGGGGAGAATTTGCACGAGAGCACCGAGTGCGTGAGGGGAGTCTGTCTGGCACGTGAGGACAAAAATAGACTTCTGCGAGCTAAATATAGCGCAGATCACAGAGCGGGCGAGCGAGATGGAGTGAGTAAGAAAGGACTCGCCCGCTCTTTTGGAAATGATTTCTGAAGGAGTAAACCCTCCTCCATCCACCGGCTCCGTTTCAGAAATCTATTTTGGACGTGCACGAAATTTAACATCTATCATTCAAATGAGAGCAGTAGGACTCACTTTAAAGCGTGCATTATTCAGAGGGAAGGCTCTCAACGTGATGTGTATTTATAGGCGCAGCCTACGATAAAGTATATTTAGAGTTTCTTTTTTTCGTCGATCTGACACGTCTGGGGGTCTTTGTCACGTATGCGTTCGTCTGTAAGGACAGAAACATATGAACGCTCGACTAGAGCATTGCACTAGTGCTCGTCCCAGTGAACATGCTTAAAGTGAACTGACAATTGCAAGCCATTGTACTCGGCAAAAAAGGAAAGTAGTTTCAGAGGAAGAGCGCATAACAGATTACGAACACATGTTTCCTGAATTTGAAGTAACATGCACCAATAAATCATTCACAATATCGGTTAACATAGAAAATTGTGTGGCTATACATTGAAAAAAAAAGTTTAACATTTTTTTTCAGATGCAAATGTGCATTACTGTAAATTTAAGTTGTTTTTTTTTTGCAAACTAAAGGTTAGCTCAATTACTTTCTGTAGGATAATAACCGAACAATACACGCACCAATTTTTATTGAATTCTTCTGTTAATGTCACCACATCTGTGCAACCCCGTTTACTTTGGCTTCTAAAAGATTTTTGGTAAGATTTTGAAATGTTTTTGAAAAACATTTTTTTTCAGATGCAAATGTGCATTACTGTAAATTTAAGTTTTTTGTTTTTTTTTGCAAACTAAAGGTTAGCTCAATTACTTTCTGTAGGATAATAACCGAACAATACACGCACCAATTTTTATTGAATTCTTCTGTTAATGTCACCACATCTGTGCAACCCCGTTTACTTTGGCTTCTAAAAGATTTTTGGTAAGATTTTGAAATGTTTTTGAAGGAAGTCTTTTAAATGCTGCATTTATTTGATAAAAACTACAGTAAAAACAGTAATATTGTGAAATATTGCTACAATTTCAAATGTGAATATATCTTAAAATGTCATTTATTCCAGTGATGCAAAGCTGAATCTTTAGCATCATTACTCCAGTCTTCAGTGTCGCATGATCCTTCAGAAACCATTAATATGATTTGCTGCTCAAGAAACAGTTCTGATCATTCTGCTTACTATTTTTGTTGAAACTGATAAATGATTTTGAATTGAAAGTTCAAAAGAATAGAATTTAGTTGCAATTAAAAAACGAACCGCTTCCAAACGAACTCTGGTACGGTTCGTTTAAGGTGTGAATATGACCCAACCTCGATCCGACCCAATTGCAGAAATCACGCTCAGAAACAGACAGCTTGCGCATGTTATTTGCGTTTCAATGGCTTAAATCACTTGTTTTTAAACCACAATGCTTAAAAACACATGCAAATGATGAGTTTTCGTGACCATGGCGCACAGCAACGTGTGAGCGCGCTAAATAGGCTAAACCTGGCCGCAAAAATGGCCATGACTATGTTGGGGAAAATAGTAAGGAGATATTTGAATTATTTATTAATAAACTAGTGCTTTATGAGTCGGTGTCGCAATGAAGTTGATGATCCTGACTCGCCATCTCATCATTGGACGCGCCTTTAGAAAGAAATGCATCTTTACGGATTACATAATGAGTTTTTGTTTTGGATTTGAATTATTTCGTTTTGTAGTCATTTAAAGCTTTCTATAGATATATTCATAATGTCTGTAAGGGAAATATTCGCTGAGTTTCGGTGCATTTTTTGTGAAGGGCTCCTGTTCAAGACCAAGACGGCAAGCGCATCCTATTTTGTTTTCTTTATTTTACAAAAGCACATTTTCTTGATATTGTGAGAGCACACAAATAAAAATAGACCATTTACAGTTCCGTACAATGTATTATTCTTACCTTTTATGAGCAAAAATTACGGCGTATTTAATTTGTTTCCACTGATGTCCCGAAGCGCGCTTCAGCTTCCACTCTCCGCACAAACGATTGGATATGCACCTAATAGCGCACATTTATCTTGGTTAAATGTTTAAACTAACATTGTGATATGCTTTAAGTATTTTATTTATTTAGTCATTTATCGGACGCTTTTATCCAAAGCGACTTACAAATGAGGACAACAGAAGCAACCAATTGTAGTATTAAAACAACCAAAAACAGATCCAAAACTAAAAGCTAAAACTTTATAAATACTACCTATACACATTTTAAAAATAAAGAGATTAAATAAAAATGACAAATGCATAAAACAAAATTTACAATTACAAAATTCACATTTATCTAGGTTAAATGTTTAAACTAACATTGTGATATGCTTTTAGTATTTTTTATCTATAGATTTTATTTTCGGCAAGTCGTAATTACAACATCGTATGGCATTGTCTCATATGATGCTCATAAGTTTCCTCATATTGCGTTAGTATCCGATAACACCAAATCAGTAAAAGAATAAAAATTGCACTCCGAATGATCTCCATGATTATCCTGTTTTTGCACTTCCTGTTTTTCCCTGCTTGAGAATTTCTGTCCAATGAATGGATGACCTTCTGGTTCACTTGCAAAAAAGGGCAGTGTGAAAGCGAACAGCACCAAACAAAAACAATCAAAATTGTATTTGGTCCGGACCAAAGCAAGTGAACTAGTGGACTTTCCTGGTGTGAATACACCCTATATGGCAGCACTTGACTTCAGCCAACAGAAATGGATTGCATCATGAAAAATAGGTGTTCTGTACGAGAACAAAGTCTGTTGGTCAGAATAAGATAGGTAACGTGCATTAAAGATGTAAATGATTTCACACTGACGTGTTATGTTTGAGCACCTGAGCCGTAAATGCCGTGTGACTAATTACTCTAAAGCTGTGGGATTTCATGACTTAAATGGCTGAAAACTCACCATAGAAGAAGATCATTTACACTAATGTCTGCTATATCATTATTTTCGCAATGTATTGCATTATGAATTGTGATCTGACACATTTCAGAATGCACCAATGCTTGAAATCAAACAGCTGCACACATATACCTTTTTTTTGGACTTGAAAGTGTGCATGCAAAAGTATTCAATGAAGTTGTTCAACTTTTTTGCATGCAACAAATGATGGTATACATCCAAGAAATGTTAATACCATACAGTTTTTTGGTAATTTTTTGCATGCATTGATATAAAAATCTCGCAAAAAGTCACAATGGAATGCATGGCTTTCTGGTGTGTAAACCCGAGCGTGTGTGTCTACAGAAGATGGAGTGAGATGGATGTGACTACCTGCAGTGATCAGTAATGGATGAGCTGATCCAGGCTTGGCTAAACGTTCAGAGTAATGGATGGAAAGAGCCAAGTCTGTCTAAACTCACACAGAGCCCGTCTGTGATGACTGACAGGTCATCTGTGTCTCCCAGAGCAGGCCATGTGTCATCGTCACACATCCTCGCTCAAAATTACTGCAATCCATAATCTTTATGCATTTGTGCAAAGGTAACAAAATACGATTGTTTACCGTTCTGTAAATCTGAATGCAGAAACGTTGAAGAAAAATGCCTGAATTGCCCTTCAGGGATGAGAAAAGCGTCGTCCTATCAGGCATCAAGTGCTTGTTTTGCAAGTCAAATCTGAGACAATGATAGAAAAGAGGATAGAAAAGAGTCACGTATGAAATTACAAGACTGGATTTTGATTTGTGAACAACAATTCCACACCACTGAGGCTAATAAAACATTATGCAGCGATGCGCTTGTCACAAAGTGACGACAAACCTGAAATATAAGCTCAAAACTGACAGTATCCTAACTAAAATGAAAGCTACAGGGGACGTAGCGGGTAGCCTCAGCTTTATGTCAAGATTGTTGCCAGAAACAGAGAAAAACAAGCTTAATCTGGGCAAACAAAGACATTTTTTAAAAATATCCACAAATTCAATGATCCACTGAATGAAGTATTCAAGATCGCTGGCTTTCTAAGTACTGTGAATAACAGTAATTGTTTCACAAACGTGAGTCATTTAATGTTATTTAGTGGATTAAACGCTTGCCTTTTTACGCGACGAAAATGTAGTCAGTGCATCTGTGATTCAAATCTCGTTGCAAATCTGTTTTGTTGTTACTAACAGGTCCAAAACGGATGATCTTGCTTATTGATTTCTCTGGTAGTGCTTGTTTCTGCACTATGCATATGGTGGTTGGTTTTTATAAATCGTGATGCTTGGGGTAGTCATAGTTGGTTTCACTGACCTGATGTTTTTACAAATCTGTTCGAAGCACAAATCATCCATGAATTGTGTTGTGGAAGTCATGCAGTTTGTCAAAAGTGGCAGTTTTTTCCCAAATCTGTTCAAATTACTACAACTGGTTACTGGTTTGTTTTGTAAGTTGCATTGAAAATCGTGCATGACAGACAGAGCTATTTATCTAAGTCAAGGTCAAAAGTGCTTCAATTTGGCTGGCTGTTTCCCCCCCAAATTTGTTCAAATCACTTCCAAGCACAATCCATCCATGCATTGTCTTGTGCATGTTATACAATTATACTTTTTTTAATATACATTCAGTACAGTTTGCTTTGTAAGTTGCATTGAAAATGGTGCATATGGGGCAAATCTTGACGACAATTTTAATTTTTTTTTTTACAAATTTGTTCAAATCTCTACCAAGCTCAAATGATCTCTGGATTGTGTTGTGCAAA